ATATATATATATATATATATATATATATATATATATATATATATATATATATTTATACATACATACATATATGCATACATACATATATACACACATATGTGTATGTGTGTGTGTGTATGATGTATATATACACAATACAAACACACACACACACACACACACATACACACACACACACACACACACACACACACACACACACACACACACACACACACACACACACACACACACACACACACACACACACACACACACACACACACACGGGCGCGCAAAGGGCCCAGAGACGCCCGCTATGGTTGTAGTTCACGTCTTCGGCCAAACAACCGATAGATATTTACTACAGATCGTCCGTGGGTCAGCTTTGTTCGTGACGTCAGACGTGTGTTTTGGCTGATCCCGTTGCAGGTCAAGTCGTTCTGCGGTTGTTCGCTTGGGTCACATCTGGGTCCTATCCTGAATTGTCCTCGGTGATAAGGTAATGCCATTTGATTTACTCTTTGCGTTGATGTGTTTATTTCTGTATGTGTTTACCTAGAGACGCTAACAAGACTTAAACCATTGATTGATCTTTCAAAGTGTTGCAACATTAGGCCGAACATTTAGGATTAATTAAAACGACTGAACCAGCAAGCCATAGGAAGAGAGGAAAGGGCGAAGGAGAGGGAGCTTGAGAAAAAAGTATGAAACAGAGAAATTAGTTAGATGTAGAAGTTAGATGTAGAACGACAGAGCACAAAATTGGAGCAAGAATTAGAGCTGACTCGCCTAACTAACCCGAGTGGAATGAGGTTTAGTTGCGAGCAGAAAGAGCTGTTGGGCATCACTTGCCGATATTCACTCAGGTTCTCGAGAAGATTTCGCAAACTCTTTAATGAGGTTTGGGCGAGTAGCTGCCTTGCTGAATGTTAGCGTTGGCACTTACGCAGTTCAATCGGGGAGCTCCTAGCAGGTAAGGCATATATATATGTATAGTTCAGTCTCATCTGAAATAACATGTGGGCATGAACACCTTCAAAAACTCTCCTAAAAGCTTGTAATAAAACCCAAACGGCTACAGGAATGATTCCAGACAGGGGAAAATAAAGAGTGGAATTTTTTTTCAACAATTTACAATTTATCTGTGGATGAATTATTGTTATGTGGATCTGTTACAACGCGCTTCGTTCATTTATGATCCAAGGTCAATTTATTGCTTCTCTTCCATTAGATAATCGGATGCTTATCAAGAATCATAATATAACCCATCTAGTCGATGCAGTGCAGTTGCCAGATAGCTCACGGTACGTCTCCGAAGTGAGGAGGGGCTAATAGTGCAAGTAAGGCGAATGTTCGAAGAATCCCTTTTGTTTTACAGACGTTTCAGGTAGTCGGAAAGTAACATTTTGTTTCGATTTCTCCTTCAATAAAATATGTCACTTCAGGAACTCTGCAATAAATGAGATACAGGTTGTAATTGCATCGTGATAGAGTGATAGATAGAGTGCGTCCCAATTTACATGTGCCGTACTGCAAAATGGTCAAAGTTTTCGATTACCTCGGAAAGGCTGATTGGGACCAGAAGGTTAAATGGTTTATGAGATGTCCTTATTTTACCGGTTGGATTGACGCATTCCGCACCCCAGTGGAATTTTGTTGCATACTCATCGGAAACTATCCCGAAGCGCGTGACCCACATGGCCTAGTCAAGGAGGATTTTTCCTCTGTCAAAGTGAAAGGGAAAAAAGTCAGTTCGTTCAGACTAGGTTGTCTAAGATAAAAAGAATGCATTCTCTCGTTGTACCAAGACTAGGGTCACTAAAGGCAACGCCAACATAAATTTCTAAATTGCAAGCTACCTATCCTTTCTTAGCGACCATGCGAAGGTAAAGTCAGATGAATTAGTGGATACCAGGGATCCTAATTCTGCTTTTAGATCCGAATGTATTGATAGGCCGATTCACAGGACGTGTGTTAAATCGAGGTTAAACAGTCAGTTCTTCAGTCGTTCCCTCGGAGCGGCCAAGCCCGTTCTCTCCTTTGGCCACGAGTCGCCTTTCGCCGGTCATTTTTCTCAAGGGGAGACGTCCGGATGAGTGCAAGAGCATCTTTATCGGCCATGCCGGACATTTCCCGACATGTGTTTTGGCGCGGGTCGATATTTTCCTTCATACGATTTTGTAGGGCAGGGATTTCCCTACAGGGGCTTTTGGTTTATGTGGGCAGGCATTTCCCTAGTGGTGTTTTGGTACACATTTGCGGGCGGCGAACTATTAATTTATGTTTCTGTTGATTGACTCCTTCCTGATACTATACTTAATGCTGCTGTAGCAGTTTTTAAGGCCCTCATATATTCCGTTGACGGCGCGACGGAATATATGTTCAAAGTTTACGTGATATTATCTTAAATTACTATTTACTTGTTCTTACTACTTTGGATATAGAAGAAACAAGGAATAGTATTTATGAACTGATGAAGTATCTATTTTTCAACAATGATAGCGTCTCACCAGACCGC